CATGGGCTTGTCTTTTCCAGTCCGACAATCAAGTCCAATCAGCTACAAAGTCCGGCCCTTGGAGGAAGGTGGGTGCAGCTTAATTAAAATTTATGCTTTTGTTTCATTATTGTGTGATGAGAACTCGGTTGATTCTGGAAAAACATATAAATTTCCACAAGATTTCTCATCGATACCGCAGAAAAACTTCTATTATATTTTACTTTTTACTGATGTAAGCGAGACCTAATCGGCTTCTCTTCATTGGCTGCAGATGCTTTCATCAAAGGATGTGAATTTTATGGGTTACACCTACAAGAACTTTGAAATTGTTAACGATCATGAAGTTCCAGGAATAAGTATGTAACTCTTTATCGTCTAACATTAACACAGTTTTCTAGTAAAATTCCTCTCTTTGAAATCACCCTTGATGAGATCTCTTAAAGTTAAAAGAAAAATTCACTTACTCAGTTGAGTTATTGGCTTACATTTTTGCTACCAGCTGAACTGAAGAAGAAGAACAACAAACCCAAAAGACCTACTGTGAAATCCCTCTTCAGTAAGATACTCTTTTTTTACCCCATCTGCTTATTATTATATCATATTCTTTATATGTTACACCATGAAGTAGAAAATTCGTTATTGTATGGTTTTCTTATGTTATTATCTTACATTACATTCAACAGGTGAGGAGTCAAATTCATCATCAGCTCAACAGGGAAGTTTCCTTAATATGCTACCTCCTATATCTGATACCTCGACAAAAGGCGAATACTAGAATTCAGTTCATCTGTTCATATCATCCGACAAAGCAAAAAACATCCCAAACGAGGATTTAATGTTCTTTTGAAGTGAACAGGTTTTGTTGGGCCTGTCCGCTTAAACTGTTGATTGACCTTTGTGTAAATTGTATATATCGTAATTTTACTCCGGCATCTGTCATAGGTGATTCGCAATATTCTTTTTTTTTTTTTTTCGGTTCGTGAAGCTGTAGAAGCTAATTTATTGTTTATAGGATTGACTTTTCGACGGCTAACAGTTTTGAGAAACTGGTGCATTGTTTGACAGAATTATCTATTGTATTGGAGGTTTGTGGAAGTTGTCTCATTACCAATACTAGTACGTACCCCGTGCGATGCACGGAAGAGAATCGCACGGGAGAGAGATATTAAATGAATTATTTTCACAGGCTCTGTCCGTTTAAGTCTGAAAAGGGTTATTATTCATTTTCTACCTATTTTAATCACCGTTAGGTCTCGTTTAAGTCTGAAAAGATTTATCATCTATTTTCCACATCTTTTAATCATCGTTAAGTCATAGAGTTGTAATCTATTTTTCACATCTTTTAATCAGCGTTGTTTATTAGTCAGAACATTAAACATGAGCATGTTAGGGTTAACTTGTAAAATAATTAATATATTATTTCACTAACACATTTATACTAATATAAATTTAATTTTATTATATATATGTATTCCTTGATATAAGAGAAAATAATAATTTTATTTATTCTTATTCACTATATAATAGTTAATTATTAAACTCTGTTGTCATATAATGTCATTATTATTTATAAAGTTATACAAGTTACACGTCTTCTTGTTCTTTTTATTTTATGTAATGAAATATATTTAATGCACATTGGTATTATTTATATAAGTAATCAATTTAAAATATGTAAATAAATTTAAAATTAAATAGTGTATAAATAATGTACAAAATATACACATATATTTTTTTTAGAATTTAATTTTGTATACTAATTAAACAACTTTGATTTAAGAAAAACCATGAACTCAATCTCTTCTAATTTGCATTGTAATGATTATTCTTATTATATATATAGATTAGAATTTTTGCTACACCAACCAAACTAAATATCACAACAACCAAGTAACAATTATGAAAAAACCCATAACACAGCAACTATCAATTAAATTTGGTAATAGAAAAATTACATATATATATATATATATATAAATATGTTGATTTTATATTTCTATTAACTGATGTATACACCACGTGTATATTTTGTTAAGGTATATTGGAATGTTCAATTTCATAGCCTGATAACGATCAGTCTTAAAAAATCGAAAATCTTATTGAAATGTCATATTTTTCTGTTAAAAAAAAAGTTCCCATAAAAAATAATTATATTATAGAAAATTCATTGTGTAATTGAACAAATTTCTATAACGAAGCCCGATTTTCTATACAAAAATAAAGCAACAACTTCCAAATTTTAAGGAAATCAATTAATGTTGGTCCGTTTTTGCTAAGAAAATAATAAATAAATAAATTGTAATTAATGAAAAGTAATTAATGATGAGAGAATATGACCATATCTGTTTTTAAAAATCGTAACAGAAAAACAAATATAAATAAAAACTGTATAATACGGAAATAGTAATGACAATAAATGATGTTGACTTTTCTAGCTACTAAATTTGGTAAATAAGACTCCCTTTAATATAAGCATAGATTCCATTTATATACAATGTTGATTTTTGGAGAAAATAGGATTTGGTATGTTTTCCCTAATTTTTTTCCCATTTTTTTTACATATTATCTAGCAAATACATTTACAAGAATGTAATAAAATATATATGAGTATTACTGGAGAACTACAGGTGCCAATATTTAGTGAAACTATACTGAATACTACAAATGTAATTGTGTAAGATTTCCGTATTCTGAGTTCATTATAATTTACAAAATGATGTAATCTAAAGGTCTTTATTAAGAGGAAAAAAAAAAAAGTAGATTTAGTAATCTATATGTGTTTCTTTTTACTGCATTCCAATCGTTCTAGTGGGATAGTAAACTCACATGTATTCTAATTATTGTGCATTCTGATTATTACATAAGAACCGCTTCTTTGGGGATCTGCAATGGGGGGAAAAAATATCTACTTATATTTTAGTTATGCTACAAAAATCGCTTTATTTAGTAATTAAATGAAACCAAAATGATTTATATTTCAATTGTGAAAACCTGATAATAAACACTAGTGCGTTGCCCGTGCGATGCACGGGAAAACAATATTACGATTGTGTTATAAATTAAATATATAAATAACATTAATCATGATTTATTCATTGTTTTTAAATTAAACAGAGTTGGACACAATTTGATCGGATGGACCGAAAACCGGTTTATAACCAGTCTAGTTCGATTGAATAAAATATTTGCTTTCGAATCCGTCAACACCAGTCGGTTGGACTGGTAGGATCGATACGATTTTCTAAATAAATTTTGTTATATTTAAAGTTATTTTAAATAAAATTACATATTTAAATAAAATTGAGATTTATAAATTATTTATCACTTAGTTTAAACATTTGAATTTATAAACTGCTTAGACATCTAAGTAACACATTTTATTTAAATTTATTACAAAAAGTACTATATATATATAATAAAATATTTATAAATTAAAATCTAAACAAACAACAAATGATTTAATAAAATAGTTTGATCGTTGCGATGACGGTCCAGTTCTGAAAACCTTATATTTACTGTACATTAATAAATATTATAATAAAATACTTAATTCACATAAATATTAATAAAATGATATATAAATATTCATAAATCATTAAGCATGTTGTCATAAAAGTATTTTTAATACGACTATTTGAAGTTTGGACTACATCACATTCACGTAATGAAATATTTTCAATATAAAATTTATATTTAGGTTCAATAATAGATTTGATGTGGTCGAACTGATACATAACTTAGTCATTTGGGACCAACCAAATTGTGTCAATTTTTTTGACTATTTTAAATATCACATAAAAATAATTTAATCAAAATCTGGGCAGGACCCTAATTCAATCACCCGATTGATCTGAAGAAATTTTCTTATTTTCTTTAAATATATTTAATTTTATGAAATAAAAATATTTTATGATTCATATAATAAATGTCTACACCAAATGATAGTATATTAAGATTATAAATTATATATCTAAAGATGAATTAATTATTTTTATTTTATGCATATTAATAAAAAATAAACATAGTAATTTTAAAAAAAATTAAGATTAATTGATTGATTATGCAATTTAAAAAATATTTTTAGCGTTCAATATTTTTTTAAGGACACAAATATAAAGACTGAGATTCAAAAACTTTTGTTATATTTTGAATTGAGATTTTATAAATATAGAGATCGAGATTTAATGTTGTTCGTTGTTTCTAAAAAAAATAAAAATAAAAACATACACACTTAATAAATCTTAGCCTGATTTTTTAAATAATAAATTAAATTAAATCCCGAAATTTAAGGTAGCATTTAATGCTGTATGATTTTTAAAGAAAAAAATAAGAAAAATAATAAAACTTACTATTTATAGGCTACATTAAATTCTGACCTATTTTTTTGCTACTATTTTTAGTAAATGGTAATTCTTATTATATATATATAGATATAGATAATAAAATAAATGTGTAGTATGTAAATATGCGATTTATTTGGTTAATTTATACGCGAAAAAAAAAGAGTGTTGGACCAACATCGTCATTAAACTTTTAAATTATCTCACTTTTATTTTTAAATCAATTTGAACCACTATTTTTTAGATTCGATTCGATTTTAAATTGAGCCAATATTTTTAAATCCCACACCTCAAATCCATCCTTAGAGCTAGTACAATGCTACTCTACTTTAGAAATGTGCGTCCGCTATATTTCGTACTACTTTGAAGATATGAACAGTATCTTACTAATTTCTTTTTTCAATTTTTATTTTTAAATTAGTTTTTATTCTATATATTATTTTGACAAAGTATACATTAATAAAATTATTTATTTTGTTAAAAAATAAATTTTGGTTTTATTATTGTTGTTGATAAACGGAATTGTATCAACGAAAAAGTACACCCCTATTCTGTGGATAATCGATGTAGGATCGATTATGTATATTGAAGATCGAAAAATCAAGAATGTTTTTTCTTAGTTTTGTAGAGAGGAGATGAATGAATAGAATTTCTCCTCTTTCATAGCCCTATCTCTATATACTGTAGACATGTCTTTTCTTTTTACAAGTGGGGCAAGTGGGACAATTAAGAAACAAATAAAAGGAGTACACAGTATTTAATGTGATATGATGTCGTGGGGCCCGATCGTGACACTTGACGGCATCGATTGACATCTACTTTATCGGCAATTATTGTGTCTGTCGGAAACGAAACTTCTCGATATTCGGGTCAACTTATAATATTAATTCCGCCCGGCTCGAATGTGGATCATTTGAGCACTTGGAAACTCGGTCGATATTAAATACTCAGCTCTGAGAACCTGCTATATTTTTATTTAATATATATCCACGTGTAGCATTTTTTTTAGTCGACGCTAAATTGGATATCAACAATTGTATTTATATTTTTTTGTACTAATTTGTTTCATGTAGAGTAAAATGTAGCTTGAATGATTGGAGATGAAAGTTAAATTTTGACATTTTCTACTCCAAAATAGAGTAAACTCTAAGTAAAAGAGAGAATTGGAGATGGTCAAATTNTAGAGAAAAGGAAAAGAAACAATTAAAAAAGAAAAAACTGATGAAAAATAGAGCTGTCAATTTGGCCTTTAACTTGCCCCGCCCCACAAAAGGGGCGGGTTGGGCCAGGTTTTTTAAGCAGGCCTTAAAGGGCCAGCCCGCGGGCTAGCCCACCTGTTTAAAAAAAATTACATATATTCAATTATATATTGAATGGCTGAGAATTAAATAAAAGTTAGATAGAAAATCTGAACCATTCAACCCTTCTCTTAAATAGGTCATGACTCATAACACAGAGTTTGGAAAAAGAAAAACCAAACCCTCGCCTCTATAGCCTCTATCTGCTGACTGCACGAGTACGACATCGACCTCACTTATCAGATTCAATCTCCTCGTCTCAATTATCGACGACGGCGACGTGTCTCCCATCTGATTTCCGACCGCCGTCTTTGCTCAATCTCCTCGTCTCAGTTATCTTTCTTCTGCTGTGAATTTGGGATCGTTATTACAACTGTTCTGCTCATTAGTCTTATCATATATTGTCGGGCATGCATATACTACGAGTTGATTGAATTTCCTGGGTAAGTTTATTAGTTTTCTATTCTCTTGCCTTGAGGTAGGATAATGAATTTTTGATTCGTAGGAATATGTTTCTGAAAGCCACTGTCTTGGAGGTGTATGCTCTGTTAAAGTGAAAAGGACCTATTCAACATTTCTAATTGTATTAAATTGTATTTCTCAGTTATTGGGATGCTGCAGCCCAGTTTAAAAAAAAAAAAGATGCGGGCTGGCCCCGCCAAAAGGCGGGCTTTGGCGGGCTACGGGCCGGCCCGTTTTGACAGCTCTAATGAAAAGAGAGAGAATAATTATATTGTATATATATAAAAAACATTAACTATTTTTCGAAGTGCCTCACAGGCTCACAGTCCGCAACAAGTTCTGTAGCATTCTCCCCAAGCCCTCATCTCTTTCTAGGTTCTACTCAAGAACAAAAATATGCAGGTAAATTCAAGATCATATCATTCTCAAAAACCCTAGTTTTCGCTTAATTTTCAGCTATTTATCCCGTTTAATTTTCCCTTTTCCACTTTGAGGTAAGCTGTACAGGTTTAATAAAGTCAATCTCTTTTGAAAACCCTAATTTTCGCTTCCTCTGCAACTATTTCCCTTGTTTGTTGCAACTATTTCCCTTGTTTAAAATCGTCATCCTCACTCTGATAATCTGACTTGGTTGTTCATACTTTCAGGCGAGCGACAGGTTTAACATCAACTCCCAGCTCGAGCATCTGCAGGCTAAGTATGTTGGCACAGGGCATGCCGATTTGACCCGATTGTAAGTTTGGTTGGATGTATTTTATTTTTTGTGCAAAATTATCGTGCTTTATTATTAACTTACTTCTGATTTCTTGAGGAACATTGTTTTGTTTTGATAGTGAATGGGCGGTGAATATTCACCGAGATAGCTGCGCTTCGTACGTTGGGCATTATCCAATTTTAGCTTACTTTGCGGTGGCGGAAAACGAATCCATTGGGAGAGAGCGTTACAATTTCATGCAGGTTTTTTTTCTTTTGCCCTTTTTGTGCGACACTAGTTCTCTCTCTCTCTCTCTCTCTCCCCCTCTCTCTTGATGGCTTCTTTAAGTTGTTTTAGCATTATTGCCTTTTCTGTTGTTGCATTTTGTAATTTGCCTTTGCTTTCTGGTATTGTTTGTAGAAGTTTTGAGAGTCTATGAAAGCTCCCTAATTTGTGTGTGCATTTAGCTTTTCACTTTGGGGTCATGGGTTTTGGTGCATTTGATGGTGTTTTTGGTGGATTTGAGCTATGAGTGTGTGATCCTGACTGGGTAGTCTTGCTTCTTTGATTTACTTGCCACTATTTTAAAGGTGTTCTATCACTTTCACATGAGCTTTTTGTTAATGCTCTAGAAGCTTGCAATTTTTTTACGGCAATAGTGCTGCTCATATAAAGTGAATCCTTTTGGTTTGGATTAGCCACGATAAGAGTTTAACTTTACCTATTTGGTTTGAACTACTGGAATTGTTAGTCGTGGAAGAGATAAAGTTTCATACTTGCAAAACTAAAATGGAATATGGTTTTACTGGATGGTTGGTTGGATCCTTGCTCTAAACTTGTTCATTTTTTCATTAGCAAGTTATCAATGGTATTGAATATGATAGTTTTCTAGATAGATTAGCAGTCTCCCTATTCTTAGATCAACCCTAATGACTCCTTGTGCCCCAAAGATTGGAATAAGGTCTTCATGTGTGTTTATAGTGTTTGCGAGTTATCTTTAGTTTATTATGGTTTTTTCATTATTATAAGAACCATTCGAAATATACTTTCTTATTTTCCAGAATTCATCCATTTCGACATTTTGTATTTGTGTAATTGTGTTAAGTTTGGTTCTTCTGAAAACAGTTGTAAAACAACATAGTATGATGCCAAATTCTTTGGTGAAAAAGGGGATTCAATAGATACCAAACTTACTGCATTTAATTGCTTGATTCTTTCAATTATGAAGAATTACGATTGTGAAATACTGCTTTGGATTTTGCACTCCCGAGAATTATAAAGAACATGTCATAATTTTTTTGTTAGCGGTGCATGTATGAATAGTTTCATTCTGAATGGTGCATGTTAATCGTTGGGACGTATGATGCATTAAATTTGTTTATTCTTTGTCTCATCACTTGGGATATTGAAAATACATGTAAGGTTCTTACTTCCTGTATAAGTTTTTGCTTTCTTTTTCTTCTTTGGCTATTTAAATTGTATTAGATGCGCATCAAAGTTGCTAAGAAATAAGAATATGTATTTTACCGCGTGCAGAAAATGATTTCGCCATGCGGCCCTCCTCCCGAGAGAGAAGATGATTGAAGACTCTTCTTTGGGGTTTTGGGTATTGGGAGTTAGAAATTGGACCATTTCAGATTTCAGATGTTTTAGTATGATAATATGGGATTTGATGTTTGTGTCGTAAATCGTAATTCTGCTCTTTGAGTGGGAAATTTGAAACTTTTCTGCATATGAAGATTATTTTTTTCACCAACAATTGGGAAAAAATTGGTGCTTTCCCTTGGTTTAATATGGTTAAAATTAATTTAAGTTCGGTGTGAAGCAAAATGGTTTCTTCATTTGATCTCCTTTAGGTGAAAGGGTGCCGTGATTTTATAAATTATAACTCATGTGTAAGTGTTTTTTTCTGCATATAAATTACAAGAAAGGCATAAATTAATATTTAAAGAGCAAATTATTCTGTATTTCACATGATATATATTCAACGGTGCAAGGGTAGTGATTGGATATAACTATTTTTATTTATTTTTGCTTTGATTCATTTTATTTTTGTTTCGTTAGTTAAAATTTATTACTAAATAAAAATTGAAAAGAAGTTTATAGGAGATATTATTCAATCCATTTTATTTATTTGTTCTCAACAATCTCATTAATATAGTTAAAACAAGTCTTATATTGTATTTTATCAAAAAAAAAAAATTATTATTTCATTCACATATTTATAATCACAAATCTTGTTTTATTCACATATTTATAACGGCAAATTATTGTCAATCAGTATTTTATTATTTTATCTTAAATAAAATTATGTACATTTTTATTGTATCCATTTATCACAAAGTATTTCATTCTAAAAATAAAATTTCTACCTATTTATTTCTTCAGAAGATAACATAAATTGCAACAGATGTAAGTTATTTGGTGTCACTTAAAGTCTAAATTGTTGGAATATGAACTAAAATGTCAACAAGAGTACTTTTTTTTAGCCCCATCTGAAATCAGCCGCCAATCACCGATCACTAGGTCCCTTTATCCGGCGGAAAATACCCGGTGAATATCTGACTCGTCTGTGCAGTTGCTCAAGTCAAGGCTCCATCTTTTTCATCATCGCCGGAAAATCCTCGGTCTGGCATATTCACAAACAGAGGGGGGAAAAACAAATCACAATATCTCATCTCTACCGAACAGTTTTATATGCAGTCAATAAACTTACAGTGACAACAGAAAAATCCCAAAAAATAAAATAAAATACACATCATCAAACAATCCCAGCCAATTTTCACAAATATCACAGAAAAACTCACAAGCAGGGCATTCTGAAACAATGGCTTGTATCTATTTTCCAGCCCAAACATCAACAATAGGGCTGAAGATAAAAACCCTAATTCTTCCTATTTAGGGAAAAAAAAAACAAAACAAAAAAAACAACCCCAGCTCTTATCTCTATCTAAGAGCTTCATAAGCAGCCATTCAATTAACTTACGATGATCACGACAAAATCCTCAAAAGAACCTACACAGCATCAGAAACTATCCCACCCAAATTTTACAAACGACACAGAAAAACTCACTGGTCCACTTAAACGAATAACAGACAACAACAACTCGGACAAAAATCTCCCATGAGAAACGCCGCCGAGACCCTCAAAATCCTCCTCAACAACCCATCACTGATCAAAACGAGTTCGCAGGCCAAACAACTCCATGCCAGCGCCGTCAAGCTCACCGGACTCGGTTCTCCCTCACCGGAATTAACCGGTCTAATTATCTCCGTCTACGCCGGCTTCGACCTCTTGCAGGACTGCCTCTCGCTCCTTAGCACGTTTGGGTCGTCGCCTCCCCCGACCAAGGTCTGGAAGTCCGTCATCAGATGCTGCGCCTCGAACGGCGATTTCGTGGGGTCCGTCGGTTTCTTCAAGGAAATGTGGGCTTCCGGCAGAGGCCCGGCGGGGAATATGTTCCCTTCTTTGCTGAAAACCTGCGTCCATTTGAAGAACTTGAAGCTCGGCGAGGCCGTGCATGGCTGCACGGTCCGGCTCGGTTTGGATGCCGAGCTTTTTACCGGGAATGCTTTGATGAATATGTATTCCAAGTTGGAGACGTTGAGTGCCCGCAATGTGTTTGATGGTATGTCCCAACTGAGAGGATCGATAATTTTGAAGGAAAAAACCCATTTTTTGAGTGAAAAAGTAGAAAATGAAGAAAGGGTTGTTGCTGATCTGAATTGCAGGGCTGATTTCAGACCAAACAGTGGTACCGTGATAGATAGAGTTAAAAACGAAGCTTTTCCCATGGATAGTGTGAGGAAAGTGTTTGAGAAAATGCCCGTTAAGGATGTTGTCTCTTGTAACACACTAATCGGAGGACTCTTGCAGAACGGGATGCACGCGGAGGCTCTCTCGACCGTGAAGCAAATGGGAAACTCGAACGTGAAACCCGATTCCTTCACACTTTCGAGCATCCTCCCGATGTTCTCGCAGCACGTGAATCTTGCGAAGGGGAAAGAGATACACGCGTACGCAATCAGACACGGTTTTGACAAAGACATGTTCATCGGGAGCAGCTTGATCGACATGTACGCCAACTGTTCACAATTAGAGGACTCGTACAAGGTTTTCTCTTTGTCCCCTCATAAAGACAGTGTATCTTGGAACTCGATGATAGCGGTTTGCGTCCAGAACGGGAATTTCGATAATGGTCTAAAACTCTTCCGAGAGATGCTTGTAGCCGGAGTCGAGCCAGTGGCCGTTTCATTTTCGAGCATAATCCCAGCCTGTGCTCACTTAACGACACTTTGTCTCGGTAAACAGCTGCACGGCTGTATACTCAGAAGGGGCTTCGATAGTAACATCTATGTTGCCAGCTCCCTTCTCGACATGTATTCAAAGTGCGGAAACTTACAGGTTGCCAGGTGGCTTTTCGAACGAATGGAATCTCATGACACTATTTCTTTTACGGCCATGATCATGGCGTATGCACTTCACGGCGATGCACGTGAGGCCATTGACTTATTCGATCGGATGGATAAAATCGAGGGCATAAAGCCCACATCCGCATCTTTTCTTGCTGTCCTAACCGCCTGCAGTCATAGCGGCTTAGTCGATCGAGCTTGGGAATATTTCAATAGCATGACTCGGGATTATTCGATTTCCCCGTGTATAGATCACTATGCGGCTATCTCGGATCTTCTTGGGCGAGCAGGAAAATTGGACGAGGCGTATAAATTCATCTCCGAAATGAAAGTTGAGCCCACAGGGGTTATTTGGTCCTCACTTTTGTCGGCTTGCCGGGTACGAAAAAATGTCGAGCTTGCCGAGAGGGTTTCGAAAGAAATGCTGAAAATCGACCCGAAAAACGTGGGCGCGTACGTTTTGCTGTCGAACGTTTATGTTGCTGCTGGTAGGTGGAATGCGGCTACCAAGCTGAGGGTGAAAATGAGAGGGAAAGGGTTGAGAAAGAAAGCGGCTTGCAGTTGGGTCGAGGTGAAAAACGAGCTGCATGTTTTTGTCTCGGGAGATGTGAGCCACCCGGATTATTTAAGAATAGGTGGCGCTTTAAAAGACCTCATGGAGAGAATCGAACGAGAGGGTTATGTTCCGGATACAAACTCGGAGCTGCATGATGTGGATGAGGAGCAGAAGAAGTATGTATTATCTACTCATAGTGAGAGACTTGCAATAGCATTTGGTGTTCTGAGTGCGCCACACGGGACCACGATTCGAGTGACGAAGAATTTGAGGGTTTGTGTGGATTGCCATACGGCGATAAAGTACATGTCGAGGGTCTTGGGCCGGGAGATTATCGTGAGGGATGTCGTGAGGTTTCACCATTTCAAGGACGGGGAGTGTTCGTGCCGGGATTATTGGTGAAACTGAAATCCGACGTGTAAGGAACAAATATTTTTAAAAATTTTGTTTTTTTTTTTAATGTATTATTTGTGTTAACTGATCTGGATGAAATCATCAAGGAGATTCAAGGGCAACATTTTGGAACAATTTTTTTTTTTTCAATTATCTTGTTCTTTATAGAATCAATCATCTTCCAAGCTAAAAACAAATTTTATAGTGAATTTGTTGTATCTTTTATTATCTGCCCTCCAGCAATGTAACAGTGACTTGATTCTCAGAAGCGAATGCATTTGTTCCGCTCGAGCCTTCGCCAGCTGTAACGTCCCTTTCCGTGAAAAATCCCGGCTCCTTAACCGGAGGCAACTCGACTTCATTCCCTTGCATGAAAACCACGGATGACATGCTCGGCCTATCTTCCGGACGTCTTTGCAAGCACAGAAGCCCAACGTGGATCGAGCGCATCACTTGGGAAAAGTCGAACGAATTTCCTAGAGTATCATCGACTAGCTCTCGTAAGTTTTCTTCTTTGTACAGTGTCCAAGCCTGTGAGATAAAAAAAAAAAAAAAAAAAATTCATCTACAAACGGCATCAAGATCCCAAGACAAAGCTCAAACACGAACATTGCACGATAAACTTATGTCGATTGGTTGGGAAGCAAAACTTAACATGCTTACATGTGCAACAAGGTTGAGATTGTGATCTTTCAAGCTGAATCCTCGGTTCCTTTTTCCGCTCACGATTTCTAGCACAAGAACACCGAAGCTAAAAACATCTGACTTGACCGAGAAAAGCCCGTCTATTGCGTATTCAGGAGACATGTAGCCACTGTGACATGAGTATTGAGAATATAGAGTTTAAGTCTTGGAGGAATTGTAAATAGGAAAAGGGATCAAGTGGAAAAAAATAAAAAAAAATTCAGTTTCTTGATGTTACTAATTCTCACTATGTTCCTACGACTCTGCGCGTTTTGGCTTCGGTTTCACTTCCACCGAAACCCCTGGCCAGGCCAAAATCTGATATCTTTGGGTTCATATCGGCATCTAAGAGTATGTTGCTGGCCTTTAGGTCTCGATGGATTATTCTCAACCTCGAATCTTGATGAAGGTACAACAGTCCTTTGGCAATCCCATTGATGATATTGAACCGCTTTCTCCAATCAAGTAACGAGCTTTTCGTTTTGTCTGTCACAATAAATGCTTGACTGTTCGATGTAATCTATAGAAATAATGTGATAGGCTGTGTTTTATTTTATAGGGCTCTCACCAAATAAAATCAAGTCGAGGCTACCGTTTGGCATGTACTCATAGATCAACATGTTCTCATCTCGTTCGATGCAAAAGCCTAAAAGCCTCACTAGATTCCTGTGCTGCAGTTTAGCAATTAAGGTCAGCTCGTTCTTCAATTCTTCGACTCCTTGTGAGGAGGCTTTTGCCAAGCATTTCACAGCAATTTCCTGTCCGTTCTCCATCGTGCCCTATAACCGAAATGTGTGAACGTAACTAAAAAGGTATCATAATGTTGCTAGCTCGTTTAACTTGCCGTGGTTTAACTTTAAGTCTGTTTTGCAGCAATTTATCGATTTTTACAATTACCGGATTTTAGTTTTACCTTGTAAACAGGTCCGAAGCCACCCTCACCGAGCTTGTTCTGTGTCGAGAAATGATCTGTGGCTTTCGAGATTGTGGATAAGTTGAAGAATGGTAATTCCGCGTCTTTACCGTGTTCGGTTCCAGTAAATGGCCCTGCAACTGTTGTATCCATCATGAGGCAAAGAAAGCAAGCAAGCATTCATGAAAAAAAAAAATGGTAATACTCTTCATCCCGAAAAGATTCTCGCTCCATACCCGATTTTCTCCTGTTTTTATCCTTCATTCTCTTCCGATAACAAACGAAAACGATACTCACGGCCACAAGAAATACTCCGGCAACCGATGTTACACTTGCTATCAGTTTCACTCTGTTACTATTCCCTTTAGAGCCTGACAAAACAAAATCAAATTTAACACAAATGACCGTAAAATGACCCCAAAAAAATAATAAATAAAAAAATCGACCTAACCGAATGTAAACTAAAATCCTCACCCAACCCGCCGGGACCGAGCCTGATGTAAAGATCCTGCCCACCCTGCCTCATGGCCTTGATATCCACCAAGTCCCCATGATAAAATAGGCACCCGCTAACCGATTCCCGTATATCGAGCACCGCGTAAGCCGTGCAGCTACAATTCCTCGAGCACTCTGCCTCACAATCCGAAAGCAACGTCGCCTCGCCATTCACCGTGCAATTCCGAGCATCCGGCAACTTAATCCCCGAGTACCTCTCGAAAACATCGCCCGAGCACCTCAATCCCGACCTCCTCATGCACCCAACTCCCGACCCCCTCCGCACGAACCCATTTAGACACCCGCACGACCCGTCATCACATAACCCGTGGGCCCCACATCGGTTGTACGAGTCGCACGGCTCGTCCGTGAGGTTGAAATTCACGACCCACGAGCCGCCGTCCCAAGTCCGCCTCTGCACGACCCCGAACGGGACGACCTTGAGCAACGTGACGACGGACGTGTCCTCGTTGTCCTCGGTGTACACGACCTCGTCGCGGCTCATCCGGAGGCTCGGGTTGTTGCGCGTGCCCACGGCACCGCTGAACCGGGCCCCGTTCCACGGGCCGACCCGGTTCACGACCCGCCCGCCAGGCCCAGTCAAGAATATCTGCGGGTAGCCCGTCGGGTCGAGCCGGGACGTGTAGTCCCCCGGGGACGGGTCGTCGTCGGCCGCCCGCCACGACGTGTAGCGGGCGTCGATCCCCCGCGCGTAGTTCACGCCGAACGACATCCCGGGGAGGAACGTGTCCGACGGGTGCTCGAAGCTCTGCCACGCGGGCGGGCCCGATTCTGGGCCCGTTGCCCGAACCACGAGGTTCCCCGAGTCGAGGAGCCGCGCGGAGTACGGGCCTGAGCCCGAGCCCGACGAGTTGGCCGACCAAACAACGGTGCCATTGGGCCCACCGTCGAGAAGGGCGAGATTTCGGGTGGGGCCCACGAAGCGTAGGATGCCGCCACTGGAGTCGAGGGGGTTCGGGCCGTTGGCAACCCAGACGTAAGTACGGACGGTTATGTTTCGGAACCATATTCCGAGGTATCGTCTGCTCGGGTTTCGGAGGGAGAAAAACCCGAGCTCGAAGGTCCCTCCCGACGAGACTAACGTTTCGCCATCTCTGATGCTATCGGAGGTGTTCAGAGTGTCGTTCGTGGCGGGAATTGTTGGGATTAGTACGAAGATTGTGAGGAGGACTACGTGTGATAAATCCATGCTTTTTNCTTTTTTCTTATGAGCTACTCAAAAGGGTCATGACATTACTAAACTGTGGTTTGAAATGAAACTTGTTAGATATTATGGGATTAATGGTGAAGGGCCAAAGATTATTTTTGTGGTGCGAGTGTGATTTGCTTTGGCCCTTTCGAAAATGTCATAAAATGTCTGTGTTTGTATATTTAATGATTTGATGATTTGAGGATGGAATGAAAATCTAATTTTGGCAGTGTGTGTAAGTCGTTATCGGCCTTTGCTAGCTTGCTTGCCCCACTTGTGGCAGGTTGCGGTCTTAACCCGCAAGGAATGAAAATATCAATTTGAGTCTTGTTAATAGGACATAAGTTTTAGTTGATCCCATATATTTAAAACACATTTTTTTTTACCTCAATTGNAAAAAAGAAGTCGGCTTTATTGAAAAAATCGAAGAAAAAGTTCTTTCGTTAGAAGTTAGAAAAAAGCTGGTTTAAACATGTTTTTATTTATTTATTTTTTAGTGCAATATATTTGTTTATAGGCTTACTTTATAATATTATCATCTTATAAATAAAAATGTCATTTTCTCTAGCTATGATAAAGATGCCAGAATTTATTTTGATAGCACCTCACTTAACAAAACTAATTAAAATTTGCCAGCACCTGTGGAAAGCAGTCTGAATGCGAATATCCTAAAGTCGACTCGTTTGAAAATTATGTCACATAAAGGAGATATCATTTTCCAGAATTAAACTAAATAATAATATAGTTGCAAAAAACATTTATTTGAGAAATTGATCAAGTGAACCGCACAAAGCCAGATACAACATATGACCAATTCAACCTAAAACGTGTTTGTGTGACCCAAAACATCAAATCTTGTCCCTATATCACAAGATTTTAGTGTAGCTCTTAGCAATAGGAAGTAGTCAAAGTTACAACATGAACTGCTTCGATTATAAGTAAATTCAATTGACAAGTTAAATTTTGAGCATAAATGTATCTTGAGTACTTGTAAAACACAAATACTACTGTTAGACTTTCTAACCATTAGATAACCATATTTTCTTACGAAAAATGCATAAGTTACTATAAAATGTCATTCTTTTGTTTACATTGTATTATGCAGCTTAACAGAAGAATTACTGCCTGCAAAAATGTGCATTGAGTTGGGTTCAAAAAGGACATGTTATAACTTTTAAGACAGACATGAATCATGAGCTCACTCGGAAGAGTCGGTCCGAGGTTGAGGAGTTGTTAGTGAAGAGCCGAGATGCCCATCGTTCCGACCTCAGCCGACTTCAGGAAGAGAAAATCAAGTTTGAAGAGGAGAAATATAACGACGGTCTTCAAGCTGGGAGGATTCTTGAAGCTGAGGCCAACAGACTTAAAGGAAAGGCCGAATCTGACTCCGAAGACGAAGACCGGGAGTTTGAAATGAATACTTGTATTAACCTTCGTTGGGTTATTGAACGGTTTGATGAGGGACTTTACGATATTGAGGAGTTGCGACAATATCTTCTTCATAAGGTTAAGAGACACAACTTCAATTCTTCCATTGTGACTGTTCATATTGATGCTGACGAGGATGAGAAAAGTTTTTGTGAATGGCTCCTCGTTACAGCGGGCACAGTGTCTGGGACTTCTCATGCTCCTCCCTTGAGTCGAGAAAGGGATGCTCGTCTTCGCCGGTCTTTCGTGAATATGCTGTTGGAGACCGAAAAAGAAAAGACGGCTGAGCTTGCCAATGTCTATGTGAAGACTCTGGCTGAAGTGAATATTGAGGAGGAAATTGAAAAGATGACTCCCGATCAGCTTCGAAAGGCAGTACTAACATTCCTTGAAAGGAAGGTGATAGGTCGAAAATTGTGCACGTATTATATATTTAATAATGTATTTTTATACACTTAATTTATTCGCACGTTTATATTTTTTCGACTTATTTATTATTTAGATGGATTTATTTGCTTTAGTGTTTTATGTGTTATTTTCAGCTTATTGGAGCATTTCGTAGACCCAAAGCATTGTACGAAAGTTTATGGGATCAATTAACAAGTGCTTTATATCCGACCCAATATCAGTCCAAGATTAAAAGCCTAATTGTTTGGGTTGAAATCCAAGGCTACTTAGTTACGCGGGGCTGGGGTATTTTAAGAAGAATTATTTGAGATGGTAATTAATTACAAGGTGGACATGAGTTAGAGACTTGGGTTGTATTTATTTGCAAAGAAAGTCAAAAGACCGAGAGACATATATTGAGAAGACTCCACTCACCACACGCATATCATATCAACGGGATTTAATTGCCAAAGGATTATTCACGGGTAAATAAAAAAAGACTGTCGTAGATAAGAAAGCAGACAGACGTACGCGCAGAGACCCACGCATCGAGTTGAAGGATAGAAGGCTACACATGCGGAGGGAAGCCGCACACGCAAACGAGGGAGAATTTTATTCTCTCTTTTATTTTTTATTTATTTTTATTAGTATGTTAGGTTAATATTTTTATCCAATTTTAGGGGATGTTTGAAACCTAAGTTTGATTTGTCTATGAAGCGAATGATCTTTGTTTATCGTTGATTAATCTAAACGCCGTATTTATTTTGTTGATGAGTTGATTCATGCTATCTGTATTTAATGTTTATGAATTATGAGTATTTGATTTAGTTTGGCCAGCTACGTTGAATGTTCATAGTTTAATTGCTAGATTCGGGACTTTAATCCGTAATTGTTATTGTCTCGTTTCGTTAGTAGTAAACTAGGGGTCGTGCATCTCTAGGGTAGCGTGAGCATAAGCTAAATGGACCGAGCTTGTGCGTCCGTTGCTTAGACTGATCTATTTTCCTAGACATTAATGCTGCTAGTGCACTAAATCTAGAGAGCTTATTCTAGGTTGTCCATTAGTTAGGTTTAGTCGAAGAGCTTACTTCGATTAAATATTCGGTAAGAGAAAATTCGGTTAACAGAGCTTGTTGTTAGTTAGGGTCGGTAATTCGTTAACGATTTAAAGAAGGCGTCGAAATTAGTTAACGGTAGATTTAGATTGGGTGATAACTGAACCGAAAACTGGACTTCTCTTATTTTATTTGATTTTTATTTTATTATTTTTATTTTTATTTTTATAAAATCAATCCCCCCATTTTTATTGCTTTCTTAGTTTAGTTCAATTAATACGAAATTATCACGATTTAATTCCTGCTCCTCGTGGGATCGATCCTTATTCGCCACTACTACTAGCTAGTAGAGGTTAGTCGAGGAAACTTTATAAATTTAAATTTGCCGCATCGCGACGCGCGGTCAGAAGGTTTCGGAGTTATCCCGGGGAGTTGATCAACCGGCTGAAGTGCGCGAGATTACTGATTGCTGATGACCGACTTGGTTTCGTGAGATTAAGCTAAAGATTAACTGCCCCGTTCGATCAGTGGTCCTCCAGAAATAGCTGAACTTAGCTCAAATCGGTATCAGCTGAATAAATTAATTACCGACTTCTAGATGGTAGAAAGTAGAACCGACTGTTTATCAGAAATCGATGACCGACTTCACTGACATCGTGATTCGCTGTATCAAAAATTATCCATTTAACCGACATCCGAGGGGATCAAATATCCAAGCAGATGGTGTTGTCAACATTTGATTGGACCATCTAAACAAGAAGCAATCATTGATGTTCCCTTGTTCCATTACACACCGCTTTATTGAAGCTGCTCAACATAAAATCCAATCTTATCTTCCTCGGACAAAAAGACAAAAACAACTGTACTATAAACTAGTGTGTAGCCCGTGCGATGCACGGATAAATAATATTAAATACTAATTATAAATTAAAGATGATAGTAAACAATATTAACTCATAATTATAAATTGAATATGAGGGTAAACAATATTAATTAACAATTGTAATTAAGATGTGGAGTTCATATGTGACATAATTTATCGTATATCAGATGTAAACAATATAAAATTATCTTGTATAAAATAACATAAAAAATGTATGTTTAAAATATTAAAAACACCTAAAATATTATATAACGTATGTAAAGTATCTAAAATTTTATATATCCTTATTGAAAGATGTGAAGTCACCTAATTTTTTCTAAACTATTTTATAAATAAAACATGTTAAAATTATTTAAAAAAATCTTGCCTACAATATATTATTCAATTTCCAAAAGATGATGATAAGTATAAGTTTGAATTTTAGAATCCACGTGAGTATTAATTTTTAGATCCGTGTACTATACAAATTATTCATTATGTTAATTTCCTCTTAACTTCACGTTGATTTATTGATTCTATTTTATTTCCATACAAAGTTGATCGTCTAATTTTG